GGGGGGGGCGTACTCTTATGTTTTGCATGCATTAGCGGTTACACCATTGACCACGCGTCCTCGAGAGGACGGAGCATTGTTCCCACAGGACCGATCACCGATGGCCAATCGTTCCTTTCTACTTTGCCGAAGGTGGCTCAAAAATGTCTTCGCTAGTCTGCCTATATTAACTATGGCCCTTCCCGCCTTTTCAACCCTGGGGAGTGGGGGGTCTCGTCGAAGAGACCCATCTTCAACAGCGACAACACCCTCCATAACCATCAACGGGCCATCCGCACTGAGGCTTTTCTCCTCCAGACAACACCCCTCCAAGAGTGGTTTGAAATGAAGAAATGGCTTATCAAAAAAGAAGAGTGATGCTGCACATCCCTTCCTCTTTATGAACCACACGAGCTCATTCGCATCTCTTTTCATCTCTTTTCCTCTCCTTCCCTTTCCCTCAGGCAAACATGTACCCTCTCCTTCACAAAAATGCACCTTCGTGTGAGCGAAAAACGCACCCTTCCATCCTTCTTTTCAGCGCAATATATTCCCGTGGTTTCAGTAAAATGCACCATTTCCTTCTGCAAACATGTCTCCCGAGGGTGGCAGTACTGGGTACCATCACCGAAGAGCGGAGGAGGAACACCTACCTCCTCCAGAAAAAAACACATTCTTCGGCAGAACGATCGTCCTTTGCAGCCGATAAAAAAAAACAGCCTTCCACTGGAAGGACGTTCCTTTTATGGCGGGGTTCCTCGATCTCTCGGTCTGTCTCTCTCTTATAGCACTCCTCTACCCTCCGTTCTCGTCCGTGATACAGAAAATGCACAAAACCCTTTCTCTGGCTTGGTCGGCGCATCCTCTCTCCATCCATTTTTCACAAGATCCTTAGATAGCTTGATCCGCGGACCTTCTCTCCATCCATCTTCACAATTCCTGTTTCCACCTCGCACGCCTCTCCCTCTCTCTCTCGCTCTCTCTGTCTCTACATCCCAACCTCTTGGGTAGAAATCATCAACATCTGGGTACCATCCAACAATTATCGTTGCATCAGCGTTCTCGCATCGGATCAACTTTTCCCGCCAAGCAAGCAAACACACTTTTCATCCACAGCGTCGAGTGCATCGTGGGCATAGAGGCGGAACAACGAAAGGGTTAGGGGGCGTAAACGACAGCAATTGCCGCAGAAGCGTTTAGGAGTCGAAGCAGCAGCAGCAGCAGCAGCAGCAGCAGGAGCAGCAGCGACCATTACAATCAACAACCATCCATCCAGAAATACCGTACAGGGTGACACCCCCCTCCCCCCGTACTCGTCGCGTGGCGGCGGGTGACCCTGCGGTGATCATCCTACAGGGCAATCACGGAGAACGAACACGCCTGCTTACACCGCCGCCTGCTTACACCGCCGGGGAATCTACCGTCGATTTCGGGAATACGCCATTGGCCTCCAAACGTCGCCCGGAGAACACGCCCACCACGACGCCGATTGCCTATCAAAAGTCTCTACAGCCCGCCCGCTGTCCCCCCCCCAATTCCACCGCATATTATCAGTCGACGGTTTCAAACTGCTGCTACAACAAGCCAGTAATCTCGTCTGATACTCTATTTGTTGATCTTCTCCTCGATGGCCTTCCACAGGACGGAGAACATGAGCCCCTGCATGCCGTTGGCCATGATCTTGGTTTTGAGGCCGCGCCCGAACAGACCGACGAAGCCGTCCTTGGCGATCACGTCGCGAACGGCATGGACGTACGTCACTGCCTCCGTGTGAGACTTTCGTCGTCATCGTCGTCGTCGTCATTTGTTGTTGTTGTTGTTGTTGTTGTTGTTGTTGTTGTTGTTATCGGCATTGTAGTTGATATCGTTGCGATCGTTGTCGTCGTCGTCGTCGGCGGCGGCGGCATTGATGATGGGGATGGCGTTTTCGGGTGCCGTCGTTGTTGGGTGCAGGGCAAGTTCGCCGGAAATATCGGGGAGAAAAAGAGAAGGAGTCAAGGAGGAGGATGACCGCAAGAGAGCGGTGGTCCCAGGCACGCGTACACAAACAGCTCGACAGCGTCGATTCTTGTCCCGCTTTATCAACGCTACATAACCACCCACCGCGGACAAAAAACGCCCCAATTTTGTTACACAAAAGCTCCCTCAATTACTGACAAAGCCGATCTGGTCCAGGCCGAACCGGAGAGGGGGCGGCGGCGGCGGGCAAGCTGCAAGACGGTATCGCGCCTAGAGAAACCACTAGAGCGGGTCAGCCAACTGACCGGTCAGCCCTAAAGCTGGGTACCAAAGCCACCGCTACCATGACCAGTTTAGGCGGCCGTATATGGACCGCTCTTCATGACGCTGATGGTCCCCAAACAACAAGCTCACTGCATATTACGCACGGACGGGTGGGATCTACAGTAGTACCAGATGTACTCTCATCACGTACCTGCTTGTAGACCTTAACGACGCGGATTGAGTTGGAGCACGTGTCGGACATCACCGAGGAGCAGAAGCCGATGATGCCGTTCCGTGCGAGCTTCTTGATGCCTGAGTCTTGCTTTGGGATGCGCTCCTGGAGGTAATTGTACGTGAAGAACCTGGCAGCCGACGTCCACCCCCATTTTTTTTGTGTTTTTTTTTTGTTTTTTCCGCCCCCACCCCCAGAAAGGAACAGCGGCAAAACGCCAAAAGAAACAGCGGCAAAACGAGGAAAATAGTTGCTATTCAAGTCGATTCGTGTTACCGGGCGGGTAGGTGGGGTTTCTGATGTCAGAGCCCCATGATACGTGCTACAACAATATCCAGCCGGTTTCCCTCCGCTCACTGTGAAGACTTAAGCACATCCCTTTCGACTGCTGTGGTTATATCTCCAACCGATAGTCTTGCTATGTAGATTTTCTGAAAATAGGTTATGATCGAGGACAACCTCGCGGAGCCATGATGCGATGATACGCCCTCGACCTTCGTTCAGGTCGGACACGTGAAGCTCGCCCCAAAACTGGATCAGGGACCAGATCAGGGGGAGGGGGTGTTCTAACCGTGATAGATGTATGTAGGATTTTGTTTGGTATAGTGTTTCCTACATATTTTATGTTGAAGGCATAGGAGTCGAAAATGGTTAATGCAAACCCACACACCTCTTAATGTATGAGATTGATTAGACTGGGTTTATAGTGTGGTGTAACAAAGCCTCTAAACTCCTATAACTAACCCTATCATCCTGCTCAATAATCCAATGTACCCAACACACCTATGAGTTTCTTGATGTCGGTTGGCATTGGCATAGCCGCAAGTGCAGCGACTTTGTTGGCGTTGGGCCTGATGCCGTCGGGAGTAGTCTAATCGTGTGTCCCAAGAATGCAGAGCGTGTCGTGCCGATGGTGGCCTTGGGTGGTGATGGAATGAGCTGTGCTTGCGCAGCCGTTGCAAGCAGGCGCGCAAGGTGCGGACGTGATCCGCCGGTGTCTTGTGCTAGAGTCCAACGTCAATTCACCCGTGAACCAAAGCTCTTGGATACGCACGTGAGCCGAAGCTGACAAGGCGTTAGGGTCGGAAACGGTGTCTGTGGCGAAGATGCTATGCTGTCGGTTGGAGTCCACAATCTACGTGGACTCCAACCAAAAGCATCGCATCTCCACCACTGACACCGTTCCATCGCCAACGCATCGTTAGCCTTCGCTCTCGTGCGTATCCAAGATGACGCTGTACTCTTACTACATGACACCGGGTCACGTCCGCACCTTACGCGCCTTCTTGCAACGGCTGCGCCAGCACAAGCTCAACGCTTTCACCACCCAAGGCCACCATCGGCACGACACACTCTTGCCGACGACGCCAAGTGTGACGAGATTGCAGGTGTAGAGCTACAGTGCCGTATACGACACAAGAGAACACACCCCTACGTGTTTGCCGTCGGGGTTGGGTTTTCGTCGCTTGGCAACGACGTTGTAAGACAATCCAATTCACTTCGTGAACTCGGCAACCAGGTTACCGTTATTTTTTTTACCTCTGTTTCTGTTATTGGCGGTAACCATAATGGTGGTCGAGTAGATCATGTTGTGCGGGGTGGAGAATCCTCACTCCGCGCAAGTGGGATGATCGCACCACGTTGTGTTAAATTGGTCAAGCACCCTCGAGACACTTACACAGTGCTTACAACTGTCTCTGGAAGTGAAAGCACCAGAAAATAAATTAAGTCATACGCAGCTGTCATCCGTACGCAAGGAAGTAAGCACAAGATGCCGAACACCCTTAGCAGGATGCAGCGCACCCTTCATGCGACTCGCCGAATATCTCACGGCGCTTCGCGCTTGGTGATGTGAGAGCCTGGTCCGGTGAGAACCCGGCGTGCTCCGTCCCGGCTTTGTAGGGATGCGAGGTCAATGGTCTAACGACTACGGCATGCACGACTATGAGTACCCCCCCTAGCCCCCTAGACCGATTTTCAAAGCTCGATTACGCCACGACCAAGAGGATTCAAAAACGAAACGACACGTGTTCGGGAAGCTCTCGACGACACGGCGTCAACGCCGCCGTGTTCGGCGCTGTGACTCTTTCTGCTGATGAGAAATCGAACTTCGAAAATCGGTCCAGGGGGGCGTGTTATCTTGTGTCATGCACGGTAGTCCGACCACTGTGTGCAGGTTGGAGCCGCTTCGTTCCTTCAATCCGGTTTCTTCCTTACCCTTCCTTCTCTCTTAGTCGCTCGCTATCGCTCACTCCCAGGCAACACCGAGGAAGGGGGGACGCTTGTTGCGCATCGCTTGCTGCTGCTAGTAACCATTTTGCCGCTACCTGCCTAATGTCGGAATACCAGGAATCTGGGCAGGTGGTCGGGATGTTCCTAAGAGATATACCCGACCAGATGGTATCATGAGTACATTGTACAAGAGTACAAGAGTCCATATCCAATAACACCAACGTACACCAACATACACCAACGTACACCCAAGCCTGGTTGTGGTGTACAGCAGTGGGGAGTACTACCGGGGAGTAGGCGTATGTCTCGCTGTGTACCGAGCTACTGGAGCGAGCTTTCCTCTGTCACCCCTCGCCCTGGTGTTCTCATGACGCCCATACACCTCTCTCTGAGGTGTATGGGTTCTACAATGTGGGTCACACTAAAGCCTAGGCGGTATGGAACATACAGACTTTAAAATAAAATACTAAGTCCTACACAATAAAACCACTGAAAAAACTGGATTAAGGCGCCCAACAAAACGGTGTGTGTGTTGTTGATATTGGCATCGACCGCTCTATTTAACAGGCTGGCCAATGAAAAGACGGCAGTCTCAGTGCGGTTGAAAACACAAAACACTTCTATCGGCCATGAACTGGGACCCCGTGAGGGGGCGGCAAGGGGGAGACCAATCTATTTACCGGATCAAAGACAGAAACGATAGCAACAGAAGAAAACTGTGTGTGTGTGCTCCACGTATTGGGATCCACGTGCCCTCTTGTGAAATAGAGACGGGCGTTTCGTCACCCTAGCCCGACCCCCCAACCCACACCAGCAACCCCCACTACAGAACATCCTCGCGAGGGCTACAGTACTGCTATTTTTTCGTTCTCTTACCAGGGGTAGTGCCCCACCAATGTCGCCGAGGATGCCGCCAAGGCTCCGTGGTACAGCACCGTGGGACCGCCCACCTTCACCTTCTTCACGAGGGCCGGGAACCCTTCCTTGCCCTCCACCTGCATTATCGTCTTGGTGGTGTCCACCCTGAATAGCAATAAATAGCAATACATAGCAATAATTAGTTTCTGTGGCAACAAAGCGTGCGTCGTGGGGAGAGAGCACACACAACCGTGGGGAGAAAAGGAATCGTGACGAGACGTCGTACCTTCTACACAAGGAGGAGAAAATCACGCAAAAATAACAAAAAAACAAAAACTCGACCGGGGAGAAAAAGTACACCACCCCCACCATCGCCAAGACGACGACACCAGCAGCACCACCGCCAGCAAAGACACTGACAACCCCCCCCCCGCCCCCCGGTGTTTGCCATCGGGGTTGGGTTTTCGTCGCTTGGCAACGACGTTGTAAAACAAGCCGCCCCCCCCGGTGTTTGCCATCGGGATTGGGTTTTCGTCGCTTGGAAAAGACGTTGTATAACAAGCCGATTCACTTCGT